CCGTGTAGTATCCGATTCCGGAAACACCAGCCATCAGCTCGTCCTTTGCGTTGCGTCTCTTTCAATGCGACGTTGCTGTTCCGCTCCCACCCTCATCCTCCATCTCCATCCCGGTAGCACTCACGCAGTTGAAGTGCTCACGAGTCTTCTCCACCGTCTTGGGTGACGACACCTGAAGCACCTTTGCCTTGCCACGCACACCCTCAACCTCTGTCAACATATTGCGTTTTTTCATTGTTTTCATGATAAACCCAAGAGCATGTGCAATCTCATGCGCTGAAACACGAACACTGTACTCCGAATCAGTGACAAAGCTCGGGTCATAATTCACCACTCCGGCAACGGGACGCCCGTCGGCTAAGCGAGAGCATGAAGTAGCCCACGCAAGAGAGGAACCTTTTGTCGAGCCAGCGGAGACATACAATAGCATGTCCGCACCAAAAACACCCACTGTGTGGTGGGAGCTGGGTATTGTAAACTCGGCGCATGTACCTGACAAGAACTCTGGTACAATAAGGTAGCCCGTGAGAGGTTCAACAAGGAGACGGTCCGTATGCATTTTAAGTGCTCGGGGAATAAGGGATTTCAATATGATGGACTTTTTTTCCTTCGTCAAAATATCCTCTTTTCTACACTCAACAGTTCCCCCAGTAAAGTCTGGACGAATCTGCCCCTCAGCGGTGCAGTATTTTAAGGGATTGTTCAGATCCTCCGTGAAGGCCTTAAAGCGGATGGGCGCCCATTCGGGAGCCGAGGCAGTCATCGCCCGCATCATTCCACTTTCCCGAGTTGGCAGCTCCAGCACCACTGCTGTCGTCCGGGGGCCAACCTTGTTTTCAATTTCTTCGGAAATGCAGTGATGCTCAGCGACGGCAACAGATCCAGAGACGCAGCAGAGCAGCAGCACCAGCAATAGCAGAGTGTGACGCATCCTTGGGTGTGTTTTCTCTTTTGGGCCTTTCACAGCACACTTTAGCTGCTTGTATGCTTGTCAATTGGATTACCTTGAGAGAAGAAATGAATGAATTAAATAACTTGTGTAGGCTCAATAAAATACGGCATCAGTGGGTTATGGTAACTGCTGAGATACACATTGAGTACAACATTACGAAGTCATCTCGGCTTTTTTTCCACAATAAATAAGGATACTTCGTGAACGCTCGTCCATTTGTTTCACTGCGGTTGACTGGAAAATTCACTCCGGTCCATTGATGGCATTCCACCTCTTCACTTTTTTCCCGTTCTTTACATTTTCTTCGGGTTTTCCCCTACTCTCACCAACACTTCTAGCCATACGATGCCATCTGGGTGCCGAAGAGGTGGTCGAGCAAAGACAAAAGTTTCCTGCTATGAGGCAACTGCCATTGAGAGAACTTTCCGAGGCGAAGGTCCTGTTCAATGCCCAGCCGTTGGCGCACAGCCAAGGTGCCTGGACATTCTAGAAGCAGATGGTGCAAGGTCTCCTGCGGGCCAATTGGCGTGCTTGTGGAGGTTGGCTGATCCTGCGGTAGCAGAGATCGCCTCCTGGCACTTCTGTTTAGATGTCGTGTGGCGTCTGGGTTGTGTGCGCAGCGAATTCTGTGCTGTGCGGTGCTTCTACGTGTGGAGAAAACCATGTCACAGAAATCGCGTTTGAGCTCGGGAAGCGGTGGAGGATGTTCCGGATGCAATGACCGACAGTGACTGACGAGATTCGAGAATCCCGTCAATGTAGAATCACAGTACGGACATTTCTCCTTCCGACGGCGTGTGACGGTCCGTCTCCTTACTGGAGAGACGTCTTCCTCCCTTGCCGACGGGGGAACAGTGTCCGTCCCCGGTGCAGTTGGATCGTCGTTGGAGCGCATAAAAGCAGACTGTTCTGGTGAGATGTTGCAGAAACGGCATTGGTTCGTGCAATCTCTCACAGCCCAGTATAGTCGACCCCAGAGCTCAGATTCCCCGCACCTTGCCCTTGCGAGGTGAACCAGTTCTTGACGGTGAAGAACTTCCTGAGTGATCAGGTCCTTACCGCTGAGATCTGATGGCCTTGTGCCGCAAAGCAAGTAGCGATGAGTGTCTTGACGAATCGTACTACGCCACTTATTGGTGAGCTGGGTAGTAAAACATGTCAGCAGGTCCGTATGCCATAAAGGTGCGATTCCTTGCTCCGTGTATTGTCCAGTTTCCAAAGTCTGTGTCGCATACTGATCTGCAAGCTCGTTAGCATGTATTCCACAATGTCCGTAACAAAACTGCAGGTGCACGGACCAGCCAGCACACGTCAGTGTCAAGAGACGCTGCCAGATCTGATCCTCCGTCCAGTAGGTTTGACTGAGCGAGCCCTCAACAAAGGGCCGCTAGAAGAGACTGACTGTCGGTAACCACAAGCAGAGTTTTGCGCTTGTAGCGGATACGAGGGATAATCGGCTTCTCCAGGGCTAGAAGCAGCGCACAGCACACACTCTCTCCAAGCAGCTCATATCATGTGGCATCACTGCACGGCAAAGTCATCGTGATGGGCAGCCCTGAAGCGGGGATGCGAAGAGTAATGCGGAAGAACCTCCTTTCACCGTCGTTCTCTCGAGGTGCTCGACAACAGGCGTGCCGGCGGTGCAATGATTATGACCGTCTCTTCCGCACCGCACCACCTGCCATCCCATTGCGTTAAGGTCGCCGTGTTCGCCGTTGCTCTCTCCACCGCCCCATGACCACGCCGGTCCTTTCAACACGGCGGGTCGGAGCGTCGCCAAAAGCTGCCCCGAAAGCCAACACACCGGGCCAATGGTGCGTTCTGTGACTCACCCGCAGTGCCGAAAGTTCCTCCAGCAGCGCAAAGGGCGTCTGCCGTGTGCGCGCCTCTTGCGTGCGGGAGAAAGTCCCTCCGCAGCACCTCCCAGGGGCTGCTAGCGACAACGTATACGCACGTGTGCTACAACCCGTCCCTCCGTGGCTAAGGAAGCTGGCATCAACCGCTTTTTGTTGATGTTGTTTTTTCTCGTGTTTCCTCAAATAAATTCGACGACCCGCACGCCGGCCACCATCGTCGAGCACGTCCGCCCTGCTGAGCGGAGACGTGAAGGAGAGCCCCGGCCCCCAGAGAGGCAGCTGCAGCAGAGGGCGTGAAACACAACCCCGTCACGCCTCCGCCCCGGAATAGCGCCGTGGCTCAATCATCCGTTTTTGCCGAGAATCAGCACAATAACAAAACCATAAATCAATCAGCCAAATAATCCATCAATAATGAGAAGTGAGAAGGCGCCTGCCACCAGCATCGAAGTTACGTCGCATCTTCGAGGAGCTTCGTGCCTTCTCGCCGCGCAGAGGCACTGTTGGGGGGCAGAGCCTTTCCACCCAGGTGGGAAAACTGCGCCAACCCTTTTCGTGAGGCACAGCTTCCCCAATTTCCAAGTGTCCGCCTCATGTTATGTCTAATTGCCGGCAGCGCCGGGCAGCGGAGTGGATGCGGACCCGTTTCATTGTACAATTCACGTTCGCCGGTTTTCACGATCTCTGGTTGATGCCCGTGGCGTGCCGTGCGGTGGCGGGTCAGTCCGTCATTGCTTTAGTGCTAAAAGCCACATGTTGGGCAGCGAAACTCCACCAGTGGTGATCCCATCGGGGTCTCGTCGGCGGGCGAATTGCGTTCGGAACCCGTCCCCGCGCGCCGCCAGCCGCCAACAATTCCCCCGCCCCACTTTCGGTGCGTATGGCGGCACGTCTGCGGGATCGTGAGGACACGACGCTCAGGGACGCAATATGTTGAAAAAAGAAGAGCTAATGTCAAAAGAGGGAATCCCCCGTACCGCCGCACAGCATCATACGGGAGCCACACCATCCACACCCACGGCTGTATGCGTTCGGAGAAACGCGGCCTCCCTCAATCCTCGTATTCGCATCGTGCCTCAAGGCGACACTCTTCGTCGCGCGGCTGAACGATAAGCCAATAGATTCACACCTCTTGGCAAGGACCTCCTGTTCTCCTGTTGGCGCCACTTCTTGGCCGCACATTGGTCCCGCCGAACCACGCTCTTCCGCCGCCCGCTGGTCCGGATACTGCTAATCCAAACAGAAGTCTCCTTACCACGCGCGGCACCACAGACTGCGGTCTTACCATCTCGGGGCCTTCCGCCAAGACCCTCGCAGCGGTGCGGGGAACTTCCGGACAACACTCGTGGCCCGTGTGGAGGCGAGTCAACTCTACGAGATCCACAAATCTCACTCGACAGCGGAAACTCGCCCGTGCATATCCGCCAAAAGAGCCGCCTGTAAAAAGGCGCAACCAAGTCCAGTAAAGCGGCGGCTTCGTCCCATAATGCGCTAAGATACTGGGAAATGTGAAATGGCAGAGCAACCATGACCCCGGCGTCCTCATGGGCGTTCCGTGCCTTTGGCCATGCGATAAACCGCCATCCCCGCCCTGACGGCTTGTCCAGCACCGCCGGCCCACCCCGCGACAGGCCCTTTCATGGCTCTACAAATAATACCCGCCCTTTTCACAAGCAGCGCATGCTGTGCGGAGATCCTCAAATTCATTTCGTTCCCATCGCTCGTCGAGGTGACGGACCGTAACACAGTGTCCTTCCACGAATCGTCAACACAGTCGCGTGCCGTTGGATTCATCCGCCGTCGGATCCGCTTCAGGGAGTAAAAGTGTACAGGTCCACTCTTCGCCGGGGCAGGCAATCCTCCTTCTCCTCCCGCAACGCAACCCGACAACTATGGGTGCGCCAAACGATGCTGCGGCCCTCAGGAAAGATGGTCGTGTGCCGTCCCTCCCCGGCGCCAATTGTGCCCACAGCACCGTCGCCCGGTGCGCCAACTCGTTTCCACCAAAGGTGTCAACCGCACGACGTCTTGGGGAGGTATCCCACGGCATCACCACGAGCGCAGCGTTGAGAGAAAAACCATGCCGAGCGGCCGCACCCGGACATTGATGACGATGTCCCGCCTGTGCCGGCCCAGAAGGCATTGCTTCCGGAGCCGAAAGTACTTTTTTGTGTGTTTATAGGCCTCCTTGCGCAGCTTCACTCGGCACGTCGTGTTGCATTGTCCAATCCAACCACGTTTGCGGCATCGTGCTTCATTGGGCGGGGGTGCGGCATGCTATTTCTTTGCTCTCTGAACCGCCTGGGGGAAAGGGCGGTCCCATTTCTGGGCATTTCGACAGCACCCTGAACATCCTCGACCCTCACTCCAGCATCGTTATTCACTGTCCCGAGGATCCATTTGACCGAGTGTACGCAGTCGCCCTGCCAACTGGCAAGATTCCATGAGCAACTCCTCCCCGCGAATGGCGCACGCCCAGGACACACCGTTCCCCTCACGGCTGTCTGCATGCCAGGATCTGGCGCAGCCGGCGTCGCAAAGGTGGCCCAAGACGCATCCAGGAGCCGTGGCCAGGCGTTGCATCCATCATGCATTTCAATACGCCGTCAAATGGTGCGACTGCAATCCTCCGTACGAGTCCCCGCCTCCCACGGATTCCCCACTTGGTCCCCCGTGTGCCCCGTGGGCCGAGTAACAGCTCTAGTCCCTCTGGCACGTCATGAATTTGTAGGATCTTTCGATTGTCTCTGCCGTATGGGACGCATTCCAACTTCCCGTGGCAGAAGTGGTGGAGACTTGTGACGGGCCTTGCGGAGTGCTGATGGTCGCCAAGTTGTCGTTCCATGGATGACCATGAGCAACTCCTGCATCGGCGCCAATCGAATCCGCACCGCCTGGAACCGCGCGTGGGCGTTTGAGCTGCATTTCAGTATTTTTGCTCCTCCAACCAAGCCCAAGCGCACTCATATGGGCGCTGCAGCGCCAACTGCCTTCCTTCAAGTGCCGCCCACTTGTTCCAAACAGCGGTGTGCTTCTTCCTCTTCAGAGAGGCTTGAATGGACTCAGGGTTCCTCGGCGCGGTGATGGCAGCGACAGAGTGTCGCAACGAGGTGCAATTCATTCCTTTGTCTTGTTCCCGCCTTGCAACAAATTCGCCGCCCACGTGGTGGCTCAATGGCGGGCTAGTCGCTGGGCAAAGACAAAGTGAATAAAGTGCCGCTGGACCACTCCGCCTCAGAATGTGGTCGTGTCTGTCTCGTGGGCACCGTCCAATCCACAAATCCACCCATAAATTCCTCCCTCAATAAATATTCTTTGCGCTAGGATTCACAAGAATAGACAAGAGAGAATAATCACCTGGGCCGCTGCCCGAATCCTAAAATTATCTAAAGAAATCAAGCAAGACGGAGAAAAGGGGTAAATGGAGAGGCAGCGGCTTTGCCACATCCTCAATGCTTGCTCCAATTAAATACATGCGTTTTCGGAAAGCTACTCTCGTGAAACGGCGCAGTCTATTCAGATGGATGATGTTTCTTCCTTGCGAAGTGGAAAATTTTGTGCTCTTCCAACCACAAGACCCCGCCGCGAGGTGGGAATCAAAAGAGGATGGGTGGGAAAGCAAAAAACAAAAAATTATCTGGCCCCTATCGGCTCCCTGCCTTTACAAAGTCGCGTTCTTTCCAAAAGATTCATACGGTAGAAAAGTATCAAAAAGAATGCACTCATTTATCAGGATATAAACATACATTAATTAAGTTAGCCGGCTCTCCCACGATCATTCTTTTCAAAAGCTCCTAAAAAAAAAAGGCATTATTATTGGGTGTTCCTCTAGACACACCTCCGTTCACACCATTACACTCGGAACCATAAAAAAAAAAAAAAAAAAAAGGAAAAACAACGGAAAATGACGAACAAATTCAAAAAAAAAAAAAAAAAAAAAAAAAAAAAAAATACTGCGCTCCAACAATACAAATGGCTTCTTTTCTATAAATGCTGCTCCACACACACACACTGCTTCTTTTGCGTTCTTGACGCACGATCCGATTCAATTTGAAAAAATACTAATTTGACCTAAAGTAAATAGCAGAGAAAAAAATAGAGACCGCTCTGGGCCGCGCACACATGTATATATTATCAAAGCACCTCGTTTCAATTGGAGTTATGTGCGGCAAGAAGGAATTTAAAAAGATCAAAAAGAAGAAGTAAAACTATTGAGCAAAAACTGGCACATTTACAATTGAACGGTTACAAAACGCGTTTTTTAGGAAATCATTAACACATTGACATAAAAATAAGGACCAATAAAACCAATGGGATTGATGAATAAGCTGACAGCAAACTGCTCACGCCTCCACCTCCCCTGCATGCATCGATGACAGTGCATACATCGTCGTACTTTGGACACAAAATCCTCCCTTGCATGAACAGCCCAGTTGGTGTAATACTGCTGCCCTCCGGGCATTTGTGCCACTTATCATCTCCAAGGTACCGCACGCTCACCTCGCCGTTTTCGCACGACACCTCAGCGCACACGTCACCAACAAAACCCCTGGAATCGGCAAGTCCATCCCCCTTTAAGCACTTTGATC